GAATTATAGCTAACCGTTTCTCCTTGTTTTGACTGTCACTGAAAATCCCTAACCAAGGAGCTTATATACAACACTGGAGATTGCATGTAGAACTTCTGTATGAAGATGAGTTCATTAACCCCATGATATGTTTTTTATCTCTCTCACACACTATCTGAAATTACCATGTTAAATACAAGAAATTCCAATCAGAAAGTGAAAATAAACAGAACTATGCAAGATATCAATCAGTTTTACAATCTCCAGAAGTCCTACTCTTGTATTACTATTATAAGATGAGTGTGACAAATTCTAACCAACTACTTTGAAATCAATATTTAAAACTAAATAATAAATACGCCCTTTATTTCCCTGTTTGCTGGTTGCTACCATTTTGGTATAATAGCAACACTAATTAAAAAATCAACTGAAGAATAGCTCCGATCTGTCAAAAAAAATCTACCGCTTCGAATGTTTAGATTATTATTAAAAAGTGTTAAATTGTTCAATTTGCTATTTATAATATGTATTGTGTTGTGTGAGATTGCAGAAGTGTTTGGGAACCAAATTCCAGCACTAAATTTCACAGGTAAGTCTATTACATTACGCCAATACCGAAATAAACATATTCCTATATTTTTATGTTGTAATCATAATAAAACGTTAGTATTTATAAATCATAGTGTCCTGAGGCTATAAATTAACGTTATTCTTGTTTTATTCACTACATTTGGTACCATATTCAGCAGTTTATTAAATTAAAATAATATAAATTTTGGTTTTGTAGGGTAACCATTATCACTACACTTGAGATATTTTGAGAAAGTTAATTAAATACATAAGTATTATTGTAAATAGTAATTATAAAGTTCAAAATATGAAAATAAGTTTATAATAAATACTGTAGTAGATCATGTTGATTAGATGTAGAAAACCTATTTAATAACAGCTATCTAGCAGCGGTCTTATACCTTTGTTTATGTTTCAGCTTCCCGAAAGATGTCATTAAAAGAAATTCTTGGTTGTCCATTATACTGTCACAAACGCTCTCGAAACGGAACCGCGAATGTGCTAGAGATCGAATTAGCCAGAGCACCGCGGGTCGCAATAGAAGTCGAGTAAGGCGGCTCATTCTAAAATGAGCCTTATGCAGTGCGACGTAAAGGAGAAAGTGCAACGATATCTGCACTTTTTTTACAAGTTATGCGTGTTACTTGCGTAGGTATAAGTAGGTATTTCGTACTCGCGGGTGCTAGGTAATTCTCAATTAACAGGTACTTTCTAGAACTTCGACTTTCGACGACCTCCGTGGTCGAGTGGTTTGTACGCCGGGTTTCATGGTGTCGCCGACTCGAGAGGTCCCGGGTTCAAATCCCGGTGGGGACAGATGTTTGTGTGATGAATACGAGCATTTGTACTCCAATCATGGATGTTTAATATGTATTTCTATAAAAAAAAATAAACATAAATATGTACAGTTTATGTATTCTATCCGTTACCCTAGTATCCCATAACACAAGCCTTATAGTACTTACTTTGGGGCTAGGCTAATTCGTGTGAGTGTTGGAAATATTTATTTATTTATTTACTTTCTAGAATGCATCGATCGGCGTATATAAGGGCGATTGGCGCCGCGCAGAGACAGTTGAGTTTCAACAGCGATTTCGGAGCGAATCCAAAGGCGATCAAAGTGCAACAAAAGTGTTCAAGTGAGATTGTTTAGAGACTTGTATAGTGAAATACAGTGTTTTGTAATTAACATTGTGTGTTAATTGTGTGAACTGTGTGGTGAATAAAGAACTGTCAATCGTGAACTGGCATATAATTTCGAACCCCATCCCGACACGTAACAATACCATTAAAAGGTCATTTTTATTTCTCAGCCAGAATATGTAGCTTAGAGATTCTAGTCCGTTCTTAGTAAAAGTCATTTCTGGCGATTTTAAAAAGGGTTTGCATATTCTTTCTCGTTAATTTTTTTATAAACGTTTTTGACATGGCATAATATAAGACGCATCTAATATGAATAAAATGATTTTTGTACTTGTGAATTTTATTACTATTAAATAATGTGTTCCCAAGTTCCTATCAACTCCAACGCTTTGATTTATAAATTGTTTAAAGACGATACCAGTAAGTATGTATCCTAAACGTATATTCCAACATGGTCACCCTTAGAAAGAGATAACAAACATATGTGACGTCATTCAAGGCCATATTTTTTCACTTCAAGGTATTGTTTGCACTGCAATCTCCAGTGTTGTATATAAGCTTCTTGTCCCTAACCTATCGCTAATTTGTCATTTGTTTGCTGTCAGTTTTTAAGCTCCAAATGACAATTAAATGTGTTTCCTTTCATTTTTTCTACATGAGTGAAGTTGGTCAATTCATTTACACACCGTGCAGAAATAGGCAACTTAGGTCACGGAAAAGCGTGCGTAAAGTGCGGGTTTAGGTCACACTGTGCTATAAAATAATATTGAATCAAATACTACAGGAAGAAATAGGGCAAGTAATATACTACAAATTAATTATTTTTTAATTGATTTTGAATTAATTACAGAAGCCGATGTTGCTAAGAACCAAAAAAAAATTTTCAGTTGCATAGTGATTTCATTAAGCACACCATATCTTTATTTTTATTTAAGTGTCGCCGCACACGGGCCACCGACCACAACCACAAAACGCCACCACCGGCATATTTCTTGTAGTTTTCATACATTTTATATGGACTCGCCACACACGGTACGCCGGTGGCCGCCACACGCTACAAGTCGTCGTTGCTCGCTTCTTGTGGCCCGCACCGGCCACTTAATGCGCTGATACAAAACGCCGCCACACGTCAATCGCGCGATTCCCCACCCCTCTCTCCCTTACCTTAGACAGCCGCTGTCGCGCGCTTCAGCCACTTTAGTAGCCGCTTCTAGCTTCTCGTGGCGGCGTTTGTGGCTGTGGCGTGTGGCCCGTGTGCAGCGACAATAAAAGTTTAAGGAATAGTCTTCGTAACTTCTTGGCTACGTCTGGTTGAGCTCTGCCTATCATCAATCTCACCTCTGTATTCAGCCTCGAGGGGGAGATCAAGAGTACTTACTTACTATTTTTGAAGTTATACTTCTTCAGCCGCGTTATGAAAAAAATATGAGAGTGAAATTTTAAGATGCGCGCGCATCACTGTAACACAAAAGTAACATAATGAAGTTAGCCGCGGGCGCGTTATGAAAAAATGATGAGAGTGAAGTTTTAAGATGCGCGCGCAACACTGTAACAGAAAAGTAACACCATGAAGTCGGCCGCTAAACCGCACATTACTCGTAAGTCTCGAAAAAAAGCTTCCAACAAAATAGTAATAGGATCTCTTAGTCGCACATGTTGGGACGCTCGTCGCCTCTGATCACTGTTTTCATATTTATAATATTTATCCACATGTTTCTAGTTTCTATATTCTTAACACGTGTTATAATCCATACTAATATTATAAATGGGAAAGTGTGTTTGTTTGTTTGTTTGTTTGTCTTCTCTTCACGCCTAAACCGCTGAACCGATTGTGTTGAAATTTGGTAAATGTATAGCTTGAACTTATGAGACTGCTATAGGCTACTTTTTTTAATTTATATATTCGAATTTACATAATTTTCAACTAAATTAATCATTTTCATGGTTGGTCCCGATAGAGATGGCTGTCACGAAGACAGATTAAATTTGAAATGTGGAAGTTGCTATCTTAATACGAGATGGCACCACTCGTGTTCAATACCGAGTATTTTGTGTTAGTGTTTCATTTATTAAATCGAGGTAATTTTACGCAATTTCTTTCTAATCTCATTTTTAAAATTATTTCTAGCAAATACTACTCTAAATTTATAATATAAAAATATCATTTTCGAGTGATTATAGATACCAACTCAACCGAGTAGTCTCTCTGGAAATAATATTTTTTGAGTAACTTAATAGATGGCACCACCCGTCTTTAAAATGAGTATTTTTAATTGTTTATAACTCTGAGTTGTGATATTGCGTTTTTTCAGATCGCGCTATTTATGAACATGACTTTTTAATATTTATTGTTAATTTTAACGTGATGTAGGTAGATATTTTAATTAAAACAATATTAGTAAAAAAAAAACGACTTCCTTCAGTGTCCTAATATTTTACCAGGAAATCTTATAAACATCAAAAAGATATTAAATAATCAGCTGTTTACAGTAGACAGATACTAAATAAACAGCTGTTATGATTTATTTTAGTCCCTTAATCGAGTATTATCCAATAATTTTCAAATGAAGATTGATCCTGGATGTTAATAGAAGTAGGCGCTACCAACTCGAATAACAATGAGGGTGTTTATGAAAATTTACGTCACCAGTTGGCGCCACTGTGTCGTGAGGTCGTTTGTATGAAGTTTTTGGCGCGAACTCCATAGACTAGATCCATAGACTATGAGAACATATGCGATTTAACGGATGAGTAAACCTTTCGTCTCAGTACTGCCACCTGGTGCCCGTCATTCCAGAAAACCCTCATTCGAAAATCAAGCTGTTGCGTGTGAAACTGAAGAGATGTCGCTACCCGTCATTAAAATCAAGTTTACTTGCACTAAAAATCTGAGGTTTTTCGGATGGCGCTATTCATGAACATTACTTTTTTATATTTATTGTTTTTAATAGTATTCTGTTATCTGTGCTATTAGAGAAGAATCAACGTGGTGGTGTTAAGTGCTCACTATTTCAGCAGGTAAGCAACAGCAAGCAGTAGGTACCTACCTACCTTGATTGATTTTAAAGAAATACGATTTACCAAGGTACCTGCCTACCTACATTATCTGTTTTTGTTTTCCTTTGTGATTTGGTTTTGTTGTGCATTAAATGAATTAGGTAGGTATTTTGGTAGTTTCTTCGAATGTATAAATTGGCTCACTGATAAAAATTACGATTATTATATTATAACCTACCTACCTCGATTTTTACCAGTAAGATAAGGACAACGCATAGGTAGGTATTGGTTTGTTGTAATAATATGGTATTGTAGTTTTTGATTGGTTTTGTTGCTCTGAAAGAAGGGCTGCCTATTTGCTAGATACCTTTGTAGATAGGTAACCTACCTACCTTGATTGGTACCTACCTACATTATCTACTAAGTGCGCATACTATTTCGGCAGGTACCTAGATAGGTAAATACCTTGATTTTAATAAAATACGAATTACCTATCTACATACCTACATAAAATATATTAAGTATCTGTTATTAAAATAATAATAATTAAATAAAAATAATAAAATTAAAAAAAAAACAAAAAGGAATATTAAAAAGCAATCATTTTGACGATTAACTTAACACATTGATCTTGGGTTTTTGTGAAAATAGGTGATTTTAAATACCTACCTACTATAAACAAGTTGAGTATGTGCTTACAAAACATTTTTATACTGTTGTAATTAAAATAGGTATTTTTTTTAATAAAAAATAAATATTTCAGATAATTACCTCCACCGTAATAATGACGCACAAACGCAAATCTAGCCTTTATAGAGTATCCTCTCAAGCACGAGCAAAGAGATTAACTAGGTCGCAAGAATCTCTTGAAGAAATTGAACTGAGAAGGCAAGAACAGGCAGATCGCCAAACTGCTTTGAGGGCCTCGGAATCTCAATCGCAGACACAGGAAAGGCGTCTTGAACAGTCTGAACGTCAAGCGAATTTGAGGGCCTTAGAATCACTGTCGCAGACACAGAGAAGACTTCAGGAGCAGACAGAGCGGCAGGCTCATTTGAGAGCCGCTGAATCGGATGTTCAGTCTCAACAAAGACTACAAGCGGGGCGTCAAACTGCTTTAAGAGCTGCAGAAACACCTGCTGAAACTCAGCAAAGACTTGATGAGCAAGCTCAACGACAAGCTTTTTTGAGGTCATTCGAAACACCTGAACAAGCACAGGCGCGCAGAGATTTAAATGTACGGCTTCAAGCAGAAAGGCGCCGTAATTTTAATAGAAATAAGCTACTTTTTTACTCACTATGTCAAAAGAGGATGATAGCCTCAAATAGGAAAACCACGCGAGCGTAGTCGCGGGTAACAGCTAGTGTTATACAAATGCGAAATTTATATGTGCTAATTTTTATTCAGTAGTGATTTAAATTGAATATTTTGATTATTTATTAAATTTTTCAAATTAAAACTGAACTTTATTGACTGCGTTGACTATCCTTTTCCAATCCTTTTATTATCTTATTGTAATTAATTATCTGCATGCAATTAAAAACTATTTTTTAATAATTCCAAAAATAAGTATAACTTCTCACGCGCGTACTTAAGTACACGCACTCATATTTTTTTTATGTAATATATTACAGTATCATACATATTAATAATAATAAAGAACTTCAATAATATATTATTATTTTTTAAATTATATATAAATTTTTTTTAGAGTACAAAAGGAGGACAGGACCCAGCGGAACATTTTCCACTAAAATTTTCTTGAAAAACCCCATTTTTTACAAGAATAATCCTTATGCAACAGTGTAGTATCAAAATTAAAATTAATAAAATAAACGTAATTGTATCAAAAAGTCAATAAAATACTAAATTGGAATTATTTTCTTTGTTAAGAATTTAATAAAATATCAATTGTTCCAAGTATTCTTACACAAAAATAAAGAGCATTCTGGTTGTGTCACAGAGACTCTTCACCTGATTCGCAATCAAGTGAGTGAATACGTATATCATCAACCTTTATGACACCTTCTTCAACACATTCTAGTATAGCCAACTGAAGTCGCCTCACTTTGAGTTGGCCAGCTATCTCTAACAAATCACAGGTGTTTTCTGCAGTTATCATGCCAACTAATTTAAAAATACACTTTTGCTCTAAATCTTTTATCATGTAGTATGATGCCAAAACCAGTAACTGCTCCAGTTCCAGGTCTGCATATGGTAAAGTGCCTAAATATAAATAGTCTTTGAAGTTTTGCAATGCAGCTTTAGAAGTGTCCAATTTCTCTATTTTAGCATCAGTGCTCTCTTGCCATTTACCACTTAGCATTGCTTTTAAGACTGGGCTTGCAGCAGCAAGTACTGCACGATGAATGCTTATTGAACCATCCTCCCCTTTAAGCTCAAAATCAGTCAACTCTGTGTCATCATGAAGAAGTGCTAAGGGGCAAGCACTTGGAGTTATATCAATATGCGCAGTAACAATAAAAGAGTAATTTTGTTGTTTTATATTATCCTGTACCAAGTGCCATGTTCCATCATCACTTATGAAATTTTTATCAGTAATATTTAACTCTTTGCTATTAACTTTTATGGTGTAAGTCAAGTCGTCCTCTTTGTGAAGTTTTACAAATCTTACATAAATCCAATTATAGTATGTATTATGTTTTTCCCCTTTTGTTACAATTAATTTGACCTGAAATACAGCTGCTGCATTAATTTTAAATTCTTTAGTAGTCCTTACTGTGGGTAAATATCCGCTGTTGTTTGATACTGATATGTTTAATTTCAATGAATTTCCTGTTTGAATTATGTTGCTGACCTCCATCCTAGAAACAATGAAATATAGGGTCAAATAAATTAAGTACCTACTTAAATTTATAGAAAAAGTATGTTACAATACCAAAATACATCTACAAAAAGTTAAATTTAACATTTTTGTTATTTATTTAAATTTTATAGTTAGCAAATTTATTTTATGAAGGTACGGTAGTTAAGTATCCTTATCCGTTATAGTAAGGTTAAGGTAATTGATTTAAATTCTTCTTTGTGAAGCTTCAAAGATTAATTTTACTGATGAAAAGTCTTACCTACCTTTATTTTTAAGCCAAAAATCAGGTAGCTACGCAACACGGTGTGTGTTTTAAACGACAACGTAACCGAATTACGTCAGTGTCCTCTGTGTGACTTAATTAGGGCCTTTAGTTTTAAATCATTCTCGGATTATAGGAACAGCATTACTGCCGGTCTAGTAAAAAATGCAGAAAGTGACGTTTTATCAAGATATGAGTTAATTATGAATAAAAATTCTTTCAACTGAATATCATCGAACGTGTAGCGACTTCACATTATTGTGGGGTTATAGTAAAACCAATCAAGTCATTTTAGTTGAGTTAACCATGGATTAAGTATGTTCCAGTCTCAGATTACAGAACAAAGGGCAGATGAAGGACACGATACACAAATTTCGTGCCATCAAAGCAAATATCAAGTTAAAAGTAACTAGCAAACCAGTGAACCAAATGTTCACCAAAAAAAAATGTATTTAATTAATGAGGGCTATCGCGTATGAATCCGCCGCTAGAGGCGCTAGTGTAGCGTGAGGTCTCCGAAATGTCAAATGTTATTGCTTGTTGGTTGACTACGCGGGTTTATTTCTTATTAAAATAATGTTGTGAATAATTGGTAACAATTCGGCTTAATTATGGCAAATATGAGTTATGTGGCAATGAATGTCAGTTATTAAAAATTTGAGCTTAGAAATATGATTATGTTCCCATTTTTTCCGAATAAAACGGAACTGGGCGTCACTGTGGCATGGCCTATTATGTTTAGGATATGGTTCTTTTGTGTTAAAATACGATCTAAATGTAACCTTTGATTTCATGTGCGTATTAATAAACTTTAAAAGTTACAATTTAGGACCTCACACAACAGTGGCGCCATCTGGTGAGACAGAAAACGGTAGCCCTCATTGAGAACTTCGGAGATTTTGTGTGGTTTCGTTTGAAATAGAAATCACGTGATTTCTCGAAAACCGGAAGTGCTACGTTACTCACATCCAGTTTGTCAGACTCGCATCAGACTATTCTCAACTTATAACTTAAACATTCTCTTTATCTATCTCTTACGGTTTGGCCGCTGAAACAGCACCACGGACGGACGGACGGACTTGTCTAACAGATAAGAGATTAAAGTAAACAGTTTTTACAATGTTTGAACAAGGCGGCACAGTTTTGATAAAAATGTAATATTCACAAGACGTATACACAACACGATGTACATGTAGCTACTGACGCGAATTGATATTCGTTATTGACTTGATATTTGCTTTGATGGCACGCAATCTGCGTACCATGCGCTCCATCTGCGTTTAGTTCTGTAGTGCTATTCTACAAAATTATCACCCGCGGATCCGCAACGGATCCGAGCGTTACCTAAACAGATTCGGGCGGATCCACATGGGATCCGCGCGTGACAATTCACAGAATAGCACTGGAGGTTCCAGTTATGATTTATTTTGTAAAGGGGAAACTAACGAACCCGCTTTAGATGACATGTGTTGTAGTCCAAAGGAAATGATGGTGGTGGCTTTGCTCTATCTAAAATCAAAATTATCAGTCGTATAGACATAGCAGTAAGGTTGAAATACAAAGCAAAGAAATGGTGATTTTGATAGCATTTCTAACTCAATTTTGCCCAATTGTCGACTTAGTGACTTTTCGCTTTACGCCGCCGCGACGGTATAGCCAATTTTATCGGAATTATGTGAAGATATCACTGATATCGGCCATTTGATAATGGTTATCGGCGTCTGATACCAATATCTAAATATGTTAATATCTAGGCACAAAACTCAGTTGTTTTTCGATCGCAAAGTACATACAATAAAAATTTCACGGCTGTTGACATATTTACTTGCAAAAGTAAAGCATCTTTAAAAAAAACAACTTCTAGGTCTTTTGGTTGATTGGTAATATACAAACAAGAATGAAAACTTACACATGTATACATATATACATACAAACACACACACACACACACACACACACACACATACACATACACACACACACACACACACACACACACACACATATAATAGTGCGCGCTCCTTGCACACATCTCGCACTTGTTTGGTAGAGGGTTTTCTAAACTATTATGCTATAACTAAAAACTTGTGGAGCAAATGTAAATTATTACCCATAGAAAGTAAAGTAAAAATATTAATTATGATTGAAGAATTTGGCAAAACAGAATATCGTAAGGAAAGACGCCATACATACCCAACTCGCTTAGCAAAGAAAAATAAACAACTGTTAATACCAAAAATAAATAACTATTATGGAAGACGTGAAAGACGGTGGATGGTACCCACCTTAATTAATGAATTACCGGAAGATGTTACTAAAGATGCGGCCTCTAGGAATAGTCTTAAGCATAGACTAAAGAAACATTACCTATCACTATGTCCATGACCTGATTAATGTATGTCAAATGTTTAATTTATAGATTATATTAATTGTTACTCATTCGCGCAAAAGCTACTGAATGGATTTTAATTAGATTTAGGAAGCATATAAGTTTGGTACTGATAGAAAAGAATAAATTGTAAATGGGGAAAACAATAAATATAAGTTGTCACTAGGCATGCGTCCGATATATCAAAACGAATCCAAAATCCGATTTCAAACACAAATCGATACCGAACGATTTCTCAACAAGAAAATCCGATTTCAGAAATCTAACCGAACCAAAACGCTAGCGATCTAATACCACAAGTATCCAAATGTAAATCGGATTCGAAATTCGTGCTTTCGTTTTCAGAAGTCAGATTTCGTGCTGGGAAGTCCGATTTCGATTTGCTGTTTACGGAAATCTATTGCTCTTCTCTGAGGTGGGATTATTTATCACTGAAAAGATATGTCGTCTAAAAACATCAAAAGTCGAGCACCTTACATTTTTGGACGCTAACCTGAAGTAATTAGGTTTGATTTTGTAAATGGTTTGAAAAATAATAAAAACAAACAGAAAAACAAAAAAAATACTAAAAAAATATGTAAAAAGAAATCATTGTATAAAAGCCGATTTTTAAATGCGCCGCAAAAGTTTTACTCTTAACCCTAAACATAACTTTTCTGCTAGTCCTAAGCCTAGATTTAAAGCATGAAGGAAAATCGCGAAAATCTACGAGTATCCTTGCTTCCTACAATTAATTGTTTGTGATTGTCGTTAGCTAATAAAACCAAATCATAACACAAACTAGTGAATTGGCTAAGTTCGGCACATCTGAAATCGGATATCTAAAAACGGATTTTAAAATCGATTTTGAAATCTGAAATCCGATAAATATCCGTTTGCGTTCAAAACCAAAAACGCCCATGTCTAGTTGTCACGGGAACTGCTGCCGACAAACTGCATTGTAGTTTGGCAGAAATATAGATATTAAGTGTTTTTCTTTCTGGAAAAAAAAATAAAAAAAAAAATCTAGTGGTGTTCAATCACATGATCTGGCTGGCCACTTAAGAGTTTAGTGAAATTATGCGATCGGGAAATTTGGTTTGCAATAAATTGATCGTTTCATTGGCTGTGTGACATGTGGCGCCGTCCTGTTGAAACCACATATCAGTGATATACACGTCATCAATTAATAGGTCAAAATTGGGGGTTCTGGATAACCCCAATTGTTGAGAACGTCGGGATCTGCCTCAACACTGTGGCTCACGGCTGCGATGCTTTCAGTTGAACGACCCGGTCGAACAAGCGTTGGTGTTGGCACATTTTGTATGGAGCCTGTCGACTCAAATTTAACGACCAAATTCCTAATAGCGGTCTCAGAAGGACGATTATGTTGTCCGAAAATATCACGAATTTGACAAAATATAACTGTAACAGAACCACTATTTTCATAGTGGATTTTAATTATTTTAATTCGATTTTCAAGCGAAATTGAATTCATTGTAACAATTGCCAATGCATCTTCTACGAATACGTCAAAAAACTAAATGTGAAAACTATCATATTGTTGGTGTAGCCACAATTCAAAAACAAAGTTCTTGTTGAACAACCCTATACAATAGATTGAAAGTGTATATAATAATTACCTTAAGACTCATTTGAGTACGATTATGTGCCTTCAATCGTACAAAATCGTACTCAAACTCACGCAAACTCATGCAAAATGTGTTGAGTGAACCCCGCATTCTATTAATAACGCATACTTTTAATAAACAAAGCACTACGCGTTCGCTTCGAATTGGCTGCTTCCACCCTCCCAGCTTCAGAACACCGCGCTTTAGACAGTCCCTATTAGTCGACCTTATTGGACGATGGTACCAGTTGATGTGCCTGTGATTGGCTATCGACGGCCAACTCGAAGCAAACGAGTAGTATTTAACAGGACTAATGTGAATCAACTTTTGACAACTCTATTTTGTTTTTTCCTCCCTATTTTCTTGTATACCTACTTTTATCTTTACTATTCTTCTATGCTTCCTCTTTCCGACTTCTGCCCGCGCCCCTGGCTGTATCAAATAGCAGCCTCGAGCACGGACAGTATATTATTAAACACGTTCAAATTTGAATAAGCATAACCTAGTTAAGAGACGTATTGTAAATAATTGAATAAAAATGTTATGGAAAAAAAGGGTCCAAAACCGCCGTGTTCGCGCCTACTCAAATGTTCGCAGCAAACCCGCACTAAGAAGCTCATGGATTTTAATTATAAGGATCTTCTGTATACAGCATTCATCTTTCAACTTATTGTCAGGCGCGGTCCGAAGGGGGGGGTCACAGGGGACATGACCCCCCCCCCCCCAAATTTAAGGTCAAATTGAAAAATCTCAAAAAATTGCCAAATAATATAAGGAAATTTCTAGCTATCCCCTAACAGCGATAAATTTATATTTTGCTGACATTTAGTGGTGTTTTTTGAACTACGTACGATGGCCAAAATAACTTGGAAATGACATCTAGTACTACTATGTAATACATCATAGAAGTTTGTAATGATGATTTATAACCAAATATAAAGACATTTCTCAAAATCTGGCAACTCTTCCCATAAGTGGTACCTATTTTTTATTAGTGTAGTGAGTGACCCCCTCCAAAATTTCAGGCTGCGACCGCGCCTGCTTATTGTACTTGTTACTCACCTACTTTGCTCATTATAGTTTAAAATTTTATATCCGTTTGTTTTAATTAATGGCATCTTCTGCGAGGCAAATATATACGCTGACACCTTGTACTCCAAACCTCTTTAACGTAAACACGTAAAACTACGTGTGTTTAATTATATCCATAAGGACATCTAGAAGCCCAAATTTCATGAAGCTAGCTCAAACGGTTATAAAGATGTGAAGGTCGAAAAGTCGTAAATTTTAGTACTGCTGACTGACATTATAGTACCTAAACCTAAGCTACTTTCAGATGACCTAAAACGATGAAATTTGGAATCCAGCTCGGTAATTGTGTGTAAGTGTAGGAAAAAATCTAAAAATAAAAAAAAAGTTAAAAAGTAGGCGGGGTCTTCATACATCTTTTTTTAATTGTAACGTTGGAACCGTTACAAGCAGATATTTGAAACTATCCCAATGTAGGTATGTATTATAAAATTTGCTATGGGCACCTTTTACGAATACCGATTTAGTTATTTATTGTTTTATTACATTTGCTAGCGATTGCCCGCGATTTCGTACGCGTGGGATACACAGAATGCATTGAAGAAATAATAGGCCAGTCAATGAAGGTTTTCAACTCCGGTTTCGTTGAACCTCCATCGATTTTCATGAAAATTGGCCGTGAAATTGGTGAGTATGCGGGGGAAACCTTACGAAACAAAAGTGACATAGTGCCAACTTAGGTTTTAATACTTGATTTAAGTACTCGCCGAAAAAAAATTATATAATCAATTACCTATAACTCACTTTGAATTAACATTAGAAGTTTTTTGAAAGTAGTATATAATAATAAACAAACAAGTTTATTATTCGATTCAATTTTGGTGATAATACATTTTTTGTAAAAACTCATAGTTTTTGAGTTATTTATGAAAACCCACTTTTTATCACGAAAAATCACAATCTTTGTTCTTTAATATATTAGAACAGGACTATAAATATCTTAAAGTAGGTAAGATTTGACTTGGCCAGTTTCTATCAGAATTAAAATATTTAATTAATAAATAAATATTTCCGACACACCCCAATTAGCCTAGTCCCAAAGTAAGCACTGTAAGGCTTGTGTTATGGGATGCTAGGGTTACGGATAGAATACATATATATACTGTACATTTGTTCATGTGACCTCTTCACCACATTACCCACAGTCAAACGGGATTGCTGAAGCTACGGTTAAGTCTGCAAAGAAGCTCATTATTAAATCCTGTGAAGCTGGCGAGGACTTTTGGATCTCTTTATCACACCAAAGAAATGTCCCAAATAGTGAAGAGGATTACAGCCCTGCAAAGAAATTTTTGACTAGAAAAAATAGGACTCTATTACAATGTACTTCAGAGCAACTGGTTCCTATAAAAATTTGCAAAGTTCCTGTGAAAAATTGAGATTGAGAAGAGAAAAATCAAAATACTTTTATGATAAGAAATGTAGAAAATCTTATTCCTTAACAACAGGTCAGAATGTGGCTGTCCAAATAAGCCCAGAAAGCAGCAACACATGGAAAATAGGAGTTGTTGTTGAAAGAGTAAGTGAAAGATCATATAAAGGAAATGTAGATGATGTTATTTACAGACGGGACATAACTAGGCTTGCCAGGCGTCCGGCTTTAGCCGGACATGTTTGGCTTTTTGCGGTCGCGTCCACCCAAATATGTACGTGTTTGGCCTGTCCGGCTTTTGTCAGGCTTTTTGTCAGAGTGGCGATTAGTACGACGATGGGCGGACGAACGTCCGAACGGAGAAGAGAGCAAACTGTTGGCGCTTCAATTTTCGATCTCATTTACATCACGTATAAATACTTTTTTCAGCAGCCCCGCTGTAAAAACATTATGATTGGCAATAAAAAAAATATGTCCGGCTTTTAGGGCAAAATGTCAGGTCTTATATAGTGCGCAGTCCGGCCTTTGCATTTTATGGCCTGGCAACCCTAGACATAACACATATAAAACCCTACAAAGGATCAAGCGAAGAAACAGTTTCTGATAAAAATAATGTAAGGAAAGAAAGGAAAAGTGTTTCTAACAGTGATGCTAATCAGGACTGTGAATTAAATAACAAACAAAATAGTGATAATATAGATTACGGTTGTGATTTAGTTATTAATGACTATAATGTAAACTCTAGTGTAACCTCTTCTCCAAGTGAATCGAATATAGATATTTCTAGGCCTGTACGATCAAAGGGTATCCCAGTAAAGTACAGAGGTTATACATTGTACTAAAAATTTATTTGAGATCTTTGTTATGGTTAAAATTACTTTTTTAATAAAAATTAAAGGGTATTTATTGATTGTATGTAAGTTTCATAGCTTTGTGTATTGATTTGTATGATGTAGGTTCATATATGATTTCTGATTACTTAAGGCAAGGTACTTAGATGCTTGTTAAAACAGAGAGGATGTTCTGCGTAGTACAGCTTAATAGATGTTTTTAGTCTGTGGCTAATATCTAGCCAAGTTATGCTAACCTGCGTGATACTTGCTTTGACTCTGGCTCTTGAGTTATGTAACCATTTTATATATATTTGTTTCCTAGGTTTTCACGCAAATCACTCATTAAATAAAACTAGTTTTTACGGGTTAATGCACGAAACTTTATTTATTTATTGACGTTTCGCAGCCTTTTCAGGTCTGCATCGTCAGAATAATGATTTTTTATTTAAAAAGACCTGAAAAGGCTGCGAAACGTCAATAAATAAATAAAGTTTCGTGCATTAACCCGTAAAAACTAGTTTCATTTTATATATTCTTGATACGTAATAATTTAATAGGACATTGTTAAGTGTAACAATTATATAATAAAACTGCTATATATTGGAGTATATGGCGTTATTTTTAACAGTGTTAATCTTGTTGATGTCACACAATCTCGAAACAAAGAGTTAAACAAAAGTTATGAATACGCAGAAGTAATTAGTTAATGTATACAACACCAACGCATGGCGGTCAATCTTTATCACCCATAATAACGGGGCCCGGTGACGCGAGGTTCGTGAGAACTCTAATAACAACATTTGGTTTAGGTTATCATGCCAGAATTGACACCACTGCCTTGTTAGTCCCGAGTATGATCAACGAAGTACCCGCGGATTTAGTCAATTACCTAACACAATTGAATGTAAAATACAAGTTGAGACTTTTATTTTTAGACCTTGGAATGCACTTGAGTGTCCTATAAACACAGTACTTTGTATTTAATGAACTATTTAAGCTAGTCCCTGACGTGTTATTAGCATTGCTACAAACCTCTGTGGCTGTTCTAATGCTGTAAAAATAAAAGATTTAGACTGCCTGAGCCTCTGGGCTCTAATCTTTTATTAGAATTGCTTTTAACAATTCAGACATGTACAAAACAAAGCATTGTGGTCCCACACACAGAACGCTCTTAATCGTATTATTTTTGTATAAACAAGCTGAGAGTTCTGAGAAACGACATAAATGGTTATCGTAATCTAACACGATGCGTCGATGCTGAGGCATTACAGAGAACCATTAATTAATTAACCTTACATTCACATCGCAACACTTGCAGTACGAAATTACATAAGTTTCTAATAATGCGGGCTCCTCTTGATGCGTGATAACCCCGGATTTTGAAGAAGACAGAACCCGGACAGACCAATAAAAAAACAGTTAAAAATGTCACAAATCAACTTTTTTATGTTGATCTAGGCAAAAGAGCTAGCGGTCTACCTCATAATAAGTGGTCACTGCTGCCCATGGACACTTGCAGCACAAAGGGCCACTCATGCGTTGCCGTAAATTTTTAAACCCGCACTACAAATAAAACCCCGCCCGGACGCTCCCCGGACGACGCCCCGTAAACTAGGACAAATCCGGGGAAACCCGGACGGATGGCAGCCCTACTCTTGACTGACAGCGCAATTTTTTTTTCATCACGAGAGAAATACGACCCTACGATCACGACATTAGTGTTACCTTGGCTAGGAAATTGTTTTCGTTATCTCAGAGACGATGACGTATTTAGATATCGTTTCGCTACGAAGCCCCCAGAACTGCATTATTAGGTATAATATTTTAGGCGGTTTTCACACTGCCCAGCACTACCTACCATAAGAGTCACGGGAGTCATATGGTAGTACGAGTTTAAAACAATATGTGTGTATGTATGTGTCTATATGTATAAATATTACATTTTATTTATGAGATTTATACCTACTACTTTTATAAGACTACATACGGATGGATTGTTTGATGATCACTTGTAAGGGACAGATGTACCAATAATAAGTCACCTATTGTTAATTTTGTTAAGGAAAACCTGTCATTGGCCATACTTTTAGAAATGTATTTGCTGTAAATTTTGTATCGGAAAAACGCTGTTGGTTTTATAAGAAAATCTATACTTATAATAAATCTGTAGAGAGGTCAATTCTGTACACGAAATAAATTTTCAAAATAACTATCAGGGGATGATTAGTGATCGATACTGATGCCAAAAATGCAATCAGTAAAATTTTTGTCTGTCTGTGTGTATGTTCCTTATAGAAACAAAAACTACTCGACGGATTTTAACGAAACTTGGTACAATTATTCTTCATACTCCTGGGCAGGTTATAGTATACTTTTCATCACGCTACAGTCAATAGGAGCAGAGTAGTCAAGGGAAATGTTGGGAAAACGGGAGAAGTTACTCCATTTTTTAGCTTCCGTTGCGTGCGCAGCCTTAATGGTTAAAGTTACATAGAAATCATGTATGACGGAAATATTCCACATAAAATTGTCTAAAAAATATCCCCCAAAAGCATATGTCTATCTTTTATGGTTGACTCACAATAACACGTGTAACTCCTGATAGCTTAGCAGTTCGGAGCATTCCGATTATATAACGTAAATATGAGAATTTTAGTTTGATTATAAATATACAGGTAATAAAAATTACCGTTTTTATCTATATATGTATATAAAAGTCAAAGGGGACTGACTGGCATAGTGATCTATCAACGCACAGCCCAAACCACTGGACGGATCGGCCTGAAATTTGGCATGCAGGTAGATGTTATGATGTAGGCATCCGTTAAGAAAGGATTTTGATCAATTCTACCCCCAAGGGGATAAAATAGGGAGTGAAAGTTTGTATGAAACTTTGTCAATTTTAAACCAATCGGGCTGAGACTTTGCACGCAGGTATAAGAAGAATCATAGATGAATGTCATTGTGTATAATACAAGCCTGAGAAAAAAAACTATAGTGTACACTTCAGCTCTACACCGAAGCGAAGCGAGGGCGGGCCGCTAGTTATTTAATAAAAATGAGTAAATAAACGTACATGTGGCACAACGGTGCGTGCTTGTTCGTACGTTGCTTGCAAGTGCCTCTCTTTATATTGCGCAATGCAACACATTAATAAATAATAAATATTTCCAACACTCACACCAATTAGACTAGCCCCAAGCTAAGCACTATAAGGCTTGTGTTATGGGATACTAGGGTAACGGATAGAATACATATACTGTACATATATAAGTATATTTATATAGAAATACATATTAAACATCCTGGCTGGTATGACTGGAGTACAAATGCTCGTATTCATCACACAAACATCTGCCCCCACCGGGATTCGAACCCGGGACCTCTCGAGTCGGCGAAGGAGGTCGTCATTGCAAACGCTTTCACGCAGTGAGATGCAGATCACACACGCGCAGTGTTGCAGATCACGAGCCTATGCGTGGTACATGGCGGGCGACGGAACCACGCGCGTGGTTGCAGAAGTGCGGATCTGCAAAATGTGTGCAGGTTTCTAAGAGCCATTACGCACTGTCGACTGGTCGCCGGCGACTCGGTCGACGGTCACTGTGCTTTACTATAGTTTAATTAGGTGTATACGCACTTGGTCGTCGGTCGCTCGGGCGACACGACAACTCCTACCTACCTATCGACCTATCGGTCGCAGGCGACCAATAGGAGCACGACTTCAAATGGAAGCATTCACACTGCGAACGACTGTCGTAACGACCGAACGTGGAAATCGTATGTACTTGGAATACTGTCGCTCGGCTTGGTCTCCGTCTCTAGTTGCCTTTGTTTTGGCCGAGATGCCGAGTCGCCGGCGACCTGTCGACAGTGCGTAACGGCTCTTAACTAGTGTTTCTCTGCATGTAGGCGCGCGGCGTAAACTGCAACACTGCGCGCGGTCTGCACCACTGCGCGTGATTGCGTTTTATTACCAGAAAACTGCATTTACATTTACTACGCGCGCAAATGAAAATGCAGTTTTCTGGTAATACGGGTCTCTTCAGTGCTTTTAGTGGTGGGTGGATCATATCAATCGTTGCAAGTAGATAGCGCTGTGTTTTTTAAGCCATAATAAAACACTACGAGATTACAAAAAAATATTGAATTAAATACTACAGAAAGAAATGGGGCAAGTAGTATACTACAAATTATTGCATTTTTAATTGATTTTATATTAATTACAGAAGCCTACGTTGCTACAATCCAAAGAAATAAATATAACATGAAAAGACTATCATCAACTCTGCTGTATCCAGCATAAAGGGAAATCAAGTGTACTTACTTACTAATTTTTATTGTAATATATTACAGTATCATACATATAAATAATAATAAAGAACTACTTTCATTTAATTTTTGTAAAATTATTTGTTAAGATATCTTTAAAACAAACAGGAGGACCAGGATCAAGCTGAACTTTTTCTACTAAAATTTTCTTGAAAATGGTATTTATTTATTGAAAAAACACAAACACAATTTATACAGGAATAATCCTAATGCAATAGTGTGTAATTATGTGGTGTATCAAAATTAAAATTAATAAAATAAATGTAATTGTATCAAAAAAATAACAAAATATTAAATTGAAATTATTTTCTTTATCGAAAATTTTATAAAATACCTCTTTTAAAGTATTCTTACACAAAAATAAAGAGCATTCTGGTTGTGTCACAGAGACTCTTCACCTGCTTCGCAATCAAGTGTTTGTGAGTGATTACGTATATCATCAACCTTTATTACACCTTCTTCAACACATTCTAGTATAGCCAACTGTAGTTGCTTCACTTTGTGTTGGCCGGCCATCTCTAACAAATCACAGGCGTTTACTGCAGTTATCATACTAACTAATTTAAAAACACACTTTTGCTCTAAATCTTTTATCATGTAGTATGATGCCAAAAGCAGCAACTGCTCCAGGTCCAGGATTACCTTTGGTAAAGTGCCTAAATACAAATAATCTTTTAAGTTTTGCAATGCAGCTTTAGACGTGTCCAGCTTATCCATTTTACCATCAGTGCTCTCTCGCCATTTACCACTTAGCATTGCTTTTAAGACTGGGCTTGCAGCAGCAAGTACTGCACGATGAATGCTTATTGAACCATCCTCCCCTTTGAGCTCAAAATCCGTCAACTCTGTGTCATCATGAAGAAGTGCTAAGGGGCAAGCACTTGGAGATATATCAATATGCGCAGTAACAATAAAAGAGTAATTCTGTGATTTTATATTATCCTGTACCAAGTGCCATGTGTCATCATCACTTTTGAAATTTTTACAAGTAATACTCAACTCTTTGCTCTGAACTTTTATGATGTAAGTCAAGTTGTCCTCTTTGTGAAGTTTTACAAATCTCACAAAAATTAAATTATTGAATGTACTTGTATTTACATCTTTTGATGCAAATACTTTGACCTGAAATACAGCTGCTGCATTCATTATAAATTCTTTAGTAGTCCATAGTACGTTTGTATAACTGTTTTTGATTGATATTTTAATTTTCAATGAATTTCCTGTTTGTATTAACTTGCTGGCCTCCATCCTGCTAGAAACAATGAAACAGAGTCTAAGTAATTAATGACCTACTTAAATTTATAGAAAAAGTAATAATAATAGGATATATGAGGAGCTCGATGGCGCAAGTGGTTAGCGCGTTCGGCTACGATCGTTGAACTTAAGCAACTTTCGCAGTGGTCGGTCATTGGATGGGTGACCAAAAATTACTATCTCGAGCTCCTCCGTGCTTCGGAAGGCACGTTAAGCCGTTGGTACCGGCTGCATCTGCAGTCGTTAGCACCCACCAATCCGCACTGGGCCCGCGTGGTAGGTCATGGCCCAATCTCTCTATTCCATCCATAAGGAAGGCCTGTGCCCCAGCAGTGGGGACATTAATAGGCTGATGATGATGATGAATAGGTATAATACCAAAATACATCTACAAAAAGTAAAATTTAACACTTTTGTTATTTAATTCAATTTAATAGTTAGCAAATATATTTTATGAAGGTACATAAATATTGTTATCCGTTAAAGTTTAAGTCAAGCTAATTGATTTTTTGCGAAGCTTCAAAGATTTATTTTACTGATGAAAAGTCTTACCTACCTTATTTTTATGCTAAAGATGCTGATTTTTGGCTACCTGTAGCTACGCAAGACGGCGTGTGTTTTAAACGACGACGCAACAATATCAAACGATACTAAAACACAGAGAGAGAACCGTAAACCGGAAAATTAAAAACCCCCTCTCTAGATACAAAATCAGTGTTACCAGAAAGCCATTACGACTTCCCACAAAACTTACATGAAATTCCCCCCAAAATACAGGATTTAAAAAAAACCCCAACATGCTAAATAATTATTAAAAATACAATATTCACTACATAATATGTATTTCTGCAATGGCATTCTTTACTGGATTCACATCTTCGCACTCGTTTCTAAATCTTGTTACATAACTTTGTTTTGATAATGCCATTATCTTACCAAGGTGCAAAAAATTATGGGACAAATATATAAATTACAATTTAGCAGAGCAAAGTATATCGATTTGAAGTTTAAGCTAATGACCATTAACGACTGACTAACACGCTTGAATTGACTGAGCGACACGGATGGATTGAAGAGTAACTTTTTTAAGTGGGATTTGCCCTTTGGGGTCTGAATCGGGCTCACTGAATGAACGCAGTTCAGTGGGCTCGATCCTAACATGATTCTCTAAGCCCAAGAAGCTTATACTCAAAAATTTTTTGAGTATAAGCTTCTTGACTAAGCCTAATAAAATTTAATTTGACAACAGTCTATCCTTGTCATGCTCTATACAAAATGAGGGAGACTGTTGATTGACTGTTGATCGCGACTTTATAAAGATTAAAAGTTTATGAAGTGGTTTTATTTTGATGTGAAAATGTCGTAGACAGAGAATAGATAGACAAGCTGTTAAAATAATAAGAGCGAGAAGGCGCGAATGCCAAATCATGAATGTGTGAGCAGGACGAGACTTAAGTTTTTTGCCTCTATTGGCGAACAGGTTTTTTTTTTGTTTGCCATCGGTGCCGTCGATGGCAGACAGACTTTGCGTGTCGAAAGGATTTATACTAATTCAAGCTTTAAAACAATAACAGTTTGAAAATTTGTGTTGTCATCGATATCCAGAAGTATAGTTAAAGGGTGCAGTTATGGTGAATTGCAGTATAATTGGTTGTAAATGCCGTAGTGAAAGAAATCAGCCTAACATAAACTTTCATCGGTAAGTTGAAATTTTGATGAGATCTAGTTAGTAAATCAAAAGATCATAACACTAAGATTTTTATTAGATCTAAAGTCTAATTAAGTCAAAACAAAAACCAAATAATTGGTATAAACCGACCAAAGTGTGAGACATTCACCCGATAGATTCGCATTCATACGGCGTGACATGTTCAAATAGTCGGATTTTTTTATTTTTTGTTCTGGCCTTGGAAAAGACGACTCTTCTATATAATCCGACGATTATAAACGCAGGGGATACCAGCTCCAGACTTTTTTTTCCACAATGGTTAATTTTAAAAGTAATAAACGCGAATATTATGTAGGTAATACCTAAATAATATTCGCGTTTATATTTTTTTCTTTTATTGACTGATAAATGGTGAATTTGAACTATGAATGAATAAGCTTTTTTTATTTGGCATATGAGAAGGCAATGTGCCTTGGGGAGCTCCCCTATTCAACCCAAAGGTTAGGGCTTAGGAGGAAACGGTAGTGGAGAATGCACAAACACAACAAAAAGTTTTTTTTTTATTAAAAAAAAATAGTTGTAATTTTTTAAAACAATTTTTTTTTCTGGCGCTTCACCGCCCTCTACCGCGGCGCGCTCGCTTCGCTCGCTCGGCTCGCGCGTTATGGTCACAATATTAACCTAACCTTACCTAGTGTGAAGTATCTCCACTTGGGCCCTGGAAGTACAGTTTAGCCCTAAGACCAACTAAAAGCTTCCGAACATCTCCGGCGCTACGGGAAGTGCAGCCCCTTCGCCCTTGCGTAACAAATCGCAGGCACTCCATGCTCACCTACGTAGCTACGGCCCAGGTTGTGGGTTCGGAATTCTAGACGTCGAAGCCATATCAAAAACGTTCAGTGTCAAATTCGTAGCCAAAGTGAGTCGTAATGCAATCCAGTCCGGGGGGCGCGCCAAGATCAGTGAAAAGGGTCGAAATCACACAAAAGGAAGCAGAGAACATTCACGGAAACCGAAACGTTTCGTTTCTTGTTGTTCTGATTACTTTTTTCATGTCGTTTTACTTTTCCTCTCACTACATGCGTCTCGTTTCACTGAAAAAAAAATTAAAAAGAGAACCCAGAACGAAGAAGCTTATTTCTCAACCCACTTACTTGTTACTTGTAATTGGTGTGTTTTGAATTTATTATTATTATTGTCAAGATACATAAAACTGAATAAAAACCTATTGATAATAATTAATATTTTAATTTTCTTTGCCCGTTGGCCAACAGTTATTTTATTGTATGTTTGTTATTTCAGATTCAACATGAAACAGCTAAATACCAACCAAGTACCTCCAAATGTGAAACTTTGACTTTGAATATCGAAACAAAAGATTTTTCGGTATTATCTAATTTCTTATAACTGCAAACAGCTTCATAATTTTAGTTTTCTTGACTTGAATGGTTTTAATGAGTGTCTCTAATTTCAGATTCAACATGAACCAACTATGGGCCAACCAAGTAGGTACTTCAAAATCTGAAAATTTGGCGTTACATAAGGTAGTTACATAAATGTAGAAGTCCATATGTTCACGCTTTCTTAGCGTGATGGAATTTACCACCAATCCATACATTAAATAGGTTAAAATTTGTAACTACATACATAATAATATTTTCTGAATTTGAGAACTTAAACACGATTCTATAATTTTTAAAATACCAGTAGTCAAACAGCATGATAAAATAAATCCTGATAATTTAATGCAGATTATTTTTTGCGAATAACTATACAGTGGTGTCGATTCTGGCAAAATTCTCTAAACCTAAACTATCATGTTATGACTACGTATTAAGAGTTACAGTTTGGTTTTATATTATTGTAATTGCTTTGTTATTTTAATAATTAATTGTAACTTGGTTTGTGAGATAATAAATTTAAAAAAAAAAGATGATGGGTTCCAAATGTTTTCTCCTCTGCAGTTTCGGATAACTAAAACCCAGTCATCTCTACAGCTTTTATTTCTTGGAAACCTATTAGAGAGGAGGCAAGAGTAATCTACTATATAAAAATAAGTCGGGTTTTCCTTCCTGACGCTATAACTCCAGAACGCACTAACCGATTTCCACGGTTTTGCTTTCGTTGGAAAGGTCTCGGGCTCCGTGAGGTTTATAGCAAAAGAAAATTCAGGAAAAATTAAAAAAAAAAACTTTTAATCACCAAACGAAATGTTACATAAAACGAAGCCATCTGGTGGCGAAACGGAGTTCGCCGGGTTTGCTAGTCTACTATATAAAAATAAGTCGGGTTTTCCTTCCTGACGCTATAACTCCAGAACGCACGAACCGATTTCCACGGTTTTGCATTCGTTGGAAAGGTCTCGGGCTCCGTGAGGTTTATAGCAAAGAAAATTCAGGAAAAATTTAAAAAAAAAAATCGTTTTCTTTTAATCACAAAACGAAAATGTTACATAAAACGAAGCTATCTGGTGGCGAAACGGAGTTCGCTGGGTTTGCTAGTTTAATATAAATATTAAGGGTTCTATTCTTTATTATTCATACTAATTGACTACGGAACCCTAAAAAGTTACGAAATCTTGTCTTAGCGAGTCGCAAATGCAAGAAATACTATTTCCCCGCTTTAAGGTAAATTTTCCCGTAAAAAAGTGGCCAGACCGTTGTATTTTTTGTTTAGAATTTCATCACATTAAACATGGACGTATAAAAAAAGGCGGACAGAGTTTCGGCTAAGACAATACTGAGGCACCGTAATGGCGGCGGCTATTGATGAATGAGTGAATTGTAGGGTTGCTAGGTTAGCCAATTTTTTACCAATAAAACACAGTAAAAACATGAATATATTTTGATTGTTCAAAATTTTACTTTTTGCCCGACTGCGGAGGATAATGTTTTTCGAGCGCATGTATACACGCATGTATGTATGTCCAATAATTTGGCACGCCCTACAGCCTGAACGTCTAGACGGATTTTGACATGCGAGGTGTCATTTGATTTGTCGTGATTGTGTGAGTGGCACTCGGTATATTAAAATTTCAAAAATCTAAATAACAGATTTTATGCGCCAAAATGAAACATTTTGAAAAAAAAGTAAGTATTTTTATAACCCGTCAAGCGAGGTATCAAAGTGAAGGGTTTTAAAAGAATATTTAGAAAATATACAACTCATGTAATTAAAAAATAATGAAATTAAAATGTAGAAAATAAAAAAAATGTACTAAAAAGAAAAAAACAAGTCCAGTAGTCTAGAATTCTGTTTAATAAGGAACAAAGTTACTTTAACAGTCGGGACTCATTAGAAATTCTAGAATGTATCGAATTTTCTCAATA